CACAACTACCACGACCACCACTACAACAACCACGACGACAACGACGACCACGACCACCACGACAACGACCACAACCACCACGACCACCACGACAACGACCACAACCACGACCACAGCAACCAGCACAACCTCCGGAAACAGCACAAAGCCTTGGGAGCTGCTGCACGGTCCCTGCAGCGTGGATGAGTATGGCTGCATCTCCAGTCCAGCTTACAGCGCCTCGGCTTGCAATGTTAAGCCCTGAACCTGCGCACATGCGCTTTCTAAGCACTTTGTGATTGTGCCTTTCAAGTGCGAGCCTTTTCCGAAGCCCTGAGCCAGAATCAGAGAGCGACACATTGATCATCATAATTACTGCAACTCCATTGGCCTATGGCCGAAGTAAAAGTAAAAGACAGTTCCAGGGACTGTCGGATTGAGTCTGCTTGCGCACTGTGATGAGTGTACGCCGCAGGCACTTTCGTCCCGCAAAGCTTGGATGTCTCTCAGAAGTCGGATGTGTCTCAGAAGTCATGTATGTTTGCAAATGGTGTTCTCAATTGGCACCCTACACGTGGTTTTGTGCCGTTCATTGCGCGGTGCCACGCTGAGCGCTGAGCGGGTGACATTTTGAGCATTGCGCGCAAAATGTTCAGAATGGCCTTTCCCCTTTAGCAGGCGGCGCGCATTTGCCAATGCAGGGCGTTATTTTGAAGCTTTGTTGTTGTCAGCTCTTGTGCCACCAGGTGTTCAGGAGCAGGATGTAACTCATTTTGGGGCGAAACAGGATGACCATCCATGATCTTGTGCACCAAGGCAGCCATGGTGTCAAGGAACAAGGGGCTTACATGATGCCAATGAGTCCAATGAGTCATTGAAATGTGTGAAGCAGAAAGTCAGTTTCGTTTTGTGCCGCTGGTGTCCGGTGGTGTTTCGCAAAAACATGTTTCGGTCACCACTTCTATGTTGCATCTACACAAGCATCTGTGCTTGCGTGCCTGTTTCATCGTGTTACGGGAATTGGGAGCTATGTGCCATGCAATTGTTTCTCACGCTTACAGCTTGGCGTGCCTGCGCCACAGGTGCAGATAGTTATTCGCTCTACGGCAACAACGAGGAGTGCAGCTTTAATGTGGTGTCCAAGGCCGGGGCATGCCAGGGTATCTTTTGCATTGACAAATCGTAGGGAAGGTAGCTGGAAACATGTTGCGTTTTTGGAGCTTGCAGGGCCCCCTCGTTTCCCCTTTTGATGGTGAGATTCGGGGCAGCGCAAGGATGCGGAAGGGCCTTGTGGGCCATAGGGACGAAGGACTTGTTGGCAAGTCCTGGCGTCTCATCTTGCCCCGATGCATTCTTGTTTGTCCGCTTTGCTTAGCCATTTCGACATTGCTGGTTCACAAGCCGAGGGCAGGGGGCGGGGGATATCTGCGAAGAGCTTGTTCAAAGCAGGCTGGTGAAAGGGCAGCAATTCTGACAAGTCCTCTCACAAGTCACAGTTTCGGCATCGTTTTTGGATGTGTTTGGCATTGTTTGGCTTTGCATCCCAGCACGCCTGCATGACAAACCTAGCCCTGACAAGATACTTGCTCGGAAGTGGACGTAAGGTCAGCATTCATTCAAGCTGTCTATAGCGCATCAATGTACTGGGTACCCAGCATAATGAAGGTTAAGGTGCCGTCAGCGGCACCTGCAGCATTCTGTAAACTTAGTAATTATTGCACGGCTCGAGCATTGCAAATTTCGCGGAAGCCCACACATAAATCGAACAGATTCTTTGCTGCTGTTTGGCCGCGCCTGCACCTTGCCCCGGACCTCACCTGGACAGCCGATGCGTCCATTTCAAGGTACGTTGCGAATTCCCTTTGCGCATCCAATTTGCCACTTGTTCTCTCGTTCTGCTTGCCTTCTTCCTTCTTGTTTGCTTGGTTTGCTTAGTTTGCTGTGTGTGTGTGTGTGCATGTGGGGATTTATCTTTGTCACTCTGTCTCGCTATCTCTCGCTCTCTCGTTCACCCTTTCGAGAGACAGAAACATAAAGAGACAGGAAGGAAGGGTTTGAAAAAATGAACGAAAAAAGGGAAGAAAAGGAAGGCCAAAATAACGAAAGGAAGAAATATGGCAAGCTAAGAGGGAGAGAGCTAAAGAGATAGAACGATAGAGGGCACAGGAAGATAATACAGAGATCGCGGCGTGTGGAGAAGGAGAGAAATACAGCAAGCGAGCTTCGCCTTTATTTTTGTTTCTTCTTCTTTTACTCTTTCTTTCATTTTCTCCTTTCATTGCTGGCAGTGCCGAGGCTTGCTTTCGTTCGGCATCGCTAAGGTATGCGAGAAGATTGCGCGGTCATTGGTCTCAGTTTCCCATGTTTGGGGAAACGGTTGGAGCGAATTACTCTCCACCACTTCTGCAACGACAGATAGTAGCTCCAAGCGCCCAGTTTTGATTCGGTCTGAAAATGATTGTTGGTATCTACAAGTTTTGTTTTCTGCACAGTGCAGTGGCCCCAAGGTTGTCTCGAGGTCGCACCTTTTTGATTTGCACTCTCCTGATCCGGCGTCCCATTGAATGCAACATCCAATTGGCAAGTGCGACTGTTGCTGCAATATATATATATATATATCACTCATTATATGTAAATCAACACTCGCTTTTTTGAAACAAATATTGAGTTGGGTTCAGGGTTTAGGGTTGTAGGTTTTTAAGTTTCGAAACTACATAGTTGTGCATAATTGTCGAGTTCTACTTTTTGGCCAGAACCCAAAGCCCGAAACCCTGAACCCCTACATGATGCAACTTTCCACGGGGTGATGCATTTCATCCCATGTCCTTCGCACATGCTCTCTGGCTTTTGCGAGGCACTCCGCACTCCCAGTGGATTGTCAAGTGCATTCGATACGACAACAAAACCTTGGCACTTCCTGTCGTAATTCTTGAGGCCTGGCCGTATTAGGCCAACATGGATTTTAAGGACAAGAAAATTACTTCAAGTTCTTTCTGAGTGTGTGTGTGTGTGTGTGTGTGGGTGTGTGTGTGTCCAGGAGCTGTTTCCCTGTGTGCGCTGCTTGGTAATTAGTTTGCCCTGCAAGTAGCTGATTGACAGAGCCCTCAAGGAACAAGCGGGGCTTGGCAGTCTCTTTGTTTAGCACCGGCACTTTCAACTGGTTGCCAACGCAACCTCTGAAGAGCTCCAAACCACACGGGCTTTCCAAAACGACCACGGATGTTCGCGTGTCAAGACAGACACACAACGCATTGTTGCCCTCTCTCGCGTGCTCGCAATGTGAACACGCGGTCAACTTCTGGCATTTTGACGACTGTGCCTGGTGGTTGCATTGGATGTCAACCACGCACTGGGCCAATCTTCATGGCTATGGTCTCTTTGATTCTTTGGGAATGATTTCGGTGAATATGAGGCCAAGTGTGCGAGCATTGTTCGCCCATTCTCGCCTGCGCCAAAATAGTTTGGTTCGCTGTCATGCAAACCTGGCCTGAACTGGCGCCAAACCCAGCATGGGCCCCTGACCTTCATGACCACCTCATGGTGGTTTCATGACGTTGCCCTTGCTTCTGGTGTGCAGAGTTGGCAACACGAATGTGCACTTTTCAAAATCGGGTTTCAATTGTTACATTTCTGGATTCTGGGCAAGTTCAGCAGTTTGTTGGCAATCCTCGACTATAGAACAAGCCAAGCTTCCAGCCACCAAACTTAGCTGATGATTATTCAGCAACGTTTTGCTTTTGTTTGATGCCAGGTAGCAATGGAAGTTGAAGACTTCCAAGTGGAAAGCTACTATGACACCATCACGGTGAACAACATCCCTTACAGCGGCACCAACAATCCTCATGGGAAGGTACCTGAAGGCCAAATCACTTGGAGCCTTGGCAGTTAAAGGGTGACATGACTTGAAACATTGTGAGACTGTAGTTGACGTCCTTTGATCATTGAACTCTCATCGTGCTTCCTTGAACGTGCCATCTTGTTGGCGGGCATCCATTTCAAGGCAAGAGACCGAAGTTCAGTCGTTTGTCGCAGTCCGAGTCTCTGGCAACTGGCGCAGGTGTTCTGCAGACCGCATGTATTGACAAGTTTGAGATTGGAGGTCAGCTCGCCACGCCTGAGGCTTGCTGATTACAGCGTTGTCATGGCAGGCTGGCGCATTTGCCCGCGTCCAGCGGGCCCCTGTGACTGAGCCAACTGAGGGTAGAATGCTCAGTCGTTGTGCACAAGAGCACTGACTTCGCAGACGTGCTTTTGCAGGAATGCGAAGAACGATAGATGTACTGTTCACGCGTGCTTTCTCACTTTGCCATACACTGGAATATGGTATGCTGTGATTTGTGTTTCGTATTGTGTTGCATCCTACGGCTTTCCAGTCCTGCCTGCACTTCCGATGCTGAGCACCCAGAAAAAAGAAGAGAAAGGAAGGGAGTGTTCCCGAGGCGGAAAAGGAGAAAGTATCAGTCGGAGCGAGGGGGGTGCTGCACGTGGATAATGGTGATGTCCGATGCGCATCAAGAAGTCGAGGGTGCGCGAGAGAGTTCAACAAGTGATGTGGAATTGCAACTTTCAATCCATTCCGCCAAACTGGTCCACCGTCCTGCTACTATTCCAGTTGGAGGGAGAGCCTTGGGCTTCCCTTCTCAGTGTGACACTGCTGAGTCCTGGCCACGTTTGCCAGACAGACTCATGGCTTTGCACCACTGAAATTGCAGGTGTTAGCTTCAGAGCCCTTTCCCTATACAGGCATTTCGTTGGCCATGCGGCAGTGCTATGTTCGCGAGAGTGGCCTTGCAGAACCGTCGTGGCATGCTTTCCCAATTTCTGGTGCCAAACATATGCTTGCCCCATGTTGGCTTCACCTGGGGTTTGGGCCTACGCACAGTATATGATCCAGCCCGCGTTGGCTGTGGGAAGGCCAACCCGTCTCGTCCTGGAACCAACAGTCTGATCAAGAGGGGTGACATGTCCAATGCCAAGCGCTTCTGTCCCCCAGTCGCGCACAATTGGCACAACATGCCCAGGATGGAGTGGCTACACTGGACTTTGACGGCTCCGAAGCATTTTCCTCAGTTGGAGGATGGTAGATCACAGGGACATGCAGTTTCGCTATGTTTCGCTCGTGTGTCAGGAGTCATAATTGTTTGCCGGATCGAGAAATGTGTTGGCAACCGTTCACTTGGGATGGACGCAAGAATAAGCAAAGATTGGAGTTATGAACTAGATGTCGAACACGTTTGTTTATTCACACTTACATTATTATTACCAGAAAGCACTTAGTTCCTGCATCAATGTGTAACGCCAAGGCATTGCACAAAGAGTGGTGCGGTTAAGGGCCTGAAGAGTTCTCGGCAACGTGCACGGGTGAGGGGGTGGCACGGTATTTTCCCGAAGCGCTAAGATACATCTGTATTATGTAGTTGGGGATGGCTTTTCGGGGACCCTCGAAATTTATGCTGTTCCTTGTGGTTTCCCCTCCCCGCCTCCCCAAACGCTTACAGCCGAGTACCTTCAAAAAAGACACACCCGCTTGGTTCATTTGTCATCCATGCGGCTCGCGATTGCGAGGCTGGACCTGCAAGGCTTTGCGGACTCCCAGCTGCGCATGAAGGGCCGGGGCACCAAGCGACAAGGAACCCTTATGACTTGGGTCAGTCACAGGGACCAGGTGGCACACCTGTGCCATCCTAAGCTTGTTCAAAACCGTTTACACAATAGATTGCGCAGCTTGAGGTTTGTGAATTGTGGGTTGCACAAATTATCCGTGCTCCATCATACGGTTTTGACCCAAAGTTTGCAGCGCGGATTGCGGATCATTGAAGATTACCAACAAAAAAAAGATTAAAAGCCGATTACGGTAGGCCCGTAGGATTTCGAAGAGGCTACTGGGAAGAGGCGCTGCCTCGTAGAGGGTTCTTAGTGGAAGCGTCTGCAAAGCCTTTGGAGATGCTTCTGCGCAGGCCCCAAAGCCTTGTCAGAAGGATGTGCAAAAAAACTTCCGAGTGGGGGCAAGCCTTTGAGGGATTTGCCTTCTTAGACCTTCTCTTCTCAGAAAGGCTCTCCGAAGCTCCACCAGTGTGCTGGCTTCATTGGTTTTGCCATGACAATTTCCTGTTTCTAGCAGGATATTCTGGATGACCATAGGCGACCATAGGCGCAATAATGCAAATCTGGGTCGTCATGCCGCTGTTGCGGCGAAACAGCAACCGGCGACTGACCATTTTGGATTTTGTCGAAGGCGGTGCTCGGCAGCTTTGAAGGGCCTTGTCGGTGCGAGTAGCGAGCCTCCCAGAACTCAACCAATTCAGGAGCCAAGTTGCCAGTCCATTTGTCGCTAATGTTAGCCACCACGGACCCTACAAGCTAGCAAATAGGCAATAGGCAAGCCCGTCAGTGTTTTGGGAGAAACGTTGATGCGCCGTTTTGCTTGTGTCTTGTGAGATCTTGTGAGCCTCATTCTAAATTAAGTGGGTGTAATTAAGTGACTATATGTTTCTCCATGGGTCATAGTTTTCATGTATTGGCCTTCAACTTGTTTGGACAAGTGGATCGAGTTGGCCGTGACTCCGTTTTTCCAACAAACGTAAGTTGACCTCCCACTGGGTGCAAGGTGACACGACAGCGAGAGAGAAGTCACTAGAAGGCCGGTCGTTGCAGGCGGGGAATTGCGAGACCAAGCTGGTTCGCGCCCTCTGTACTTGTGCAGATAAACATGGGGCCCCACCAGCCGTATATTTAGAGGAGACTGCTCTTGGTGGACCCCCTTTCCAGGTTTCATGCGTTTGCTATAGGAGAACATCTTTCAAGGATGGGTTGCCGGGCTGTGTGTCTCCTCTCAGAGCATACGAGCAAAACATCCAAGCGGATCAGTAGGATCAAGCAAGTCGGTTCCTTGTGCATGCCCTAGTTTGTTGGACGTCATGGATTGAGAGAAATGCCATCACAAATTCCTAAGTGTGATCCTTGCCATTACGCACAACGTGGCCGATTGAAGAGGCTCCAATAACATGTGCCCTGGTCAACAAACCCCTTTACTGGGGGCAGATAAGGATGCTCAGCTATTCATAGGGATTTCCGATCACGATCAGGATTCCCATGGGAGCCATGGCCCACAGATGCTGGATAGCATGCCAGGCAGCGCTGGAGCACATGTACCCCTCCCATCGGTGGTCATGGCCCAAGATGGTGTTTTTGCAATGCCATGGGTCTCGGTCTCGGCTGAACTGGCCGCGCTCGAGATGATTGTTTTCATGTCTCCTGATGTGTGGACGGCCAAGGCTGGACGAGGCGCCTGTGCAAGATGTCAACCAGCCTGAATCCCAGACTGCTCATGGCGTTGTTAAGATCACGGGTGACACAGCCGAACTGTGAATGCGTAGTGCTGTCCGGTTGAGGTAAACCAACCATGCAGGCTCAGTGGGTGGTTCTATTTGACAGTTGTTTTCTCGCTAACTTTCACGTTGCCATGATCTTGTTGCATCCACCCAGAGCTTGCAATGTTCCTTTCCCACAGGGCCACTCAGA